GAAGGGTATTTGCTGCTTAAAACATATGCCAGAATAGTTGGAGGTTCATTCCGCTGTGGTGATTCCTGATAAATAATGAACTTGAATGAATGAATGAATGTTTATTATAATAATTATAATAAACATTATAATGTTTTCACATTCTGATTCAAATACCTAATTATTAAATTGTTAAAATGACTATAATTAAATGAAATATTCTTAAGAATAAAATATTTTGTGTTCTTTGGTAGAGTGCGCTTTATACACTATTATAGTTATAATTTTGGTGCTATATTTCGTCCCACGAAGAATAAACATCATGACAAGCCTAACTAACAGTGCTGGAAACCATTAACATGAACTGTATGAATGACTACAAGGAAAAATGTTTCATTTATAAACTGACTTTAAATAGTGAAGAATTAGGCATCACACTGAAGTGTAAATTTAAACAAATCTTTGGTAAACTATCCCTTTAAGCCATCAGCAACAAAATGATGTTCTGCATAACCTGAAACACAGATTATCCTAATAATATTCAAGCTCATTTATAAATGCTATTTTAAAATACAAAGACACAGTGGCCCTTTCTTCTCTCTGCATGCACATGAAAGTCGCCGTTGCCAAATAACCAACCTTTCACCAAACAGTCTGTTTGTGCATAGGTGTGTTGGTGTGCGAGTGGGTGGTGTGAAATTCAAAGCATATTAATGTGAGCATGTTCTCTGGAGAGCTATTAACAAGTCTATAATTAATGTTGTAAACTCTGTAGGGTTTAGGGGCTGTGAAGGGGACCCAGGGGCCGATGGCTAAGTGAGTGTACTCAAAGGCCATCCATCTCCAGCGACCGGATACTTTCTCTGTGGTGGAAGAGCACTTCACAGGAAGTCTGGCTCCAGGCCTTTATTAGCCGTCTTCACCGTTCCCTCTGGTTATGTGTGAGACTAGATTTAACTATTCGTAAGTCAATACAGGGAAGGTGAGTATAATTGGAAATCCACACACGATCATCTTTTTACATTTGCATATTGATTCAAATAAGGTGCTTTTGGCCTAATAGTCGGCTATAATTGTGTATGTATGATTGTAGTGTCATCTCTGATGTTTGACAGCACAGAGAGCGTCTGAAATAGCTGTGATTCTGAAGTACGAAAGCCCCTTCAGCCAACTGACTTAATGAAAATTAAATGAGTGGATTAGGCGGTTAATTGCCCGGCACTTGGACATGGATTGACATCTACGTAACAATGAACTGATGGTACTTTATGGATTGGTGGCGTTTAATTTAAATTCAGTCGCGTTTTCCCCTCATTCTTTTCTTTAAATGATCACGGCACAGACTGCAGTCTCTAGATATGACTTTCTGCTTTCCGTGAATTATCCCTCAAGCTTCTCTTTTCATGGCATCTGGGTTAAAGGGTTTACCAGTTCTCCGTTTTCTGGGGACTTTATGTTATTTAGCAAAATTGGTGTCAGGTCACATTGAACAGGGGGTGAAGAGGCACGTCCCTTAAATCCAGAAACTACACAGAGCCATAAAAGACGGCGTTTATTGGGAGCACACACATCCCATTACATTTCTCATTAATTACCAGATGACAAAGCAGCCTCTTGCATATCAGCCTGTGGTGTAAATGGAAAAAAGCGCACGTTAATTTTTCTAATGATTATGCAAATGATCGCCAAGCAGACGAAGGTTATCACGTCCGCACGCAAGGCAGTAATTACCGCCTCCAGGGATAAGCACGAGACAGAATCATTAAGCAGAAGAGTTCAGAGTAATGCAGCAAAGCATTTAAAACACCACCTTAACAATCAAACAGAACGTAAGTGGTCAGTCTAAAATGCTTGACGATTATGGCTGTGTAGTTTGGTTAAAACAAAAGAAAATAATACATTTGCTCATTGTTTGCTTTATGAGATGATAACCGGTTTAAAGATTTACAGCGCTTTGGAAAAGTCAAGGTTTTAAAACCGCAACATTTTTCTGTTATACTGTTCCTAAGGAATATAAGGTTTTTTTATGTGTTTTTAAGAAATATGTGCTTTTTTAAACTAATTAATTATTTAAATTCTTTCACCTGACATGATTACTGTTCCAAAATATTATAAATATTTCCTAAAATAAACATATATTGTGTTAAATGGGGGTGAAAGTTGCTGTTTTTTACCCATACATTTGAAAAGAGCTTATTTTAGAGCAGTAATCACAACACCGTGATACTGTGAGGCCGCAATTTTTTTATCCAACGTTACAATACTGTCAAAAACTTATATCTGCCCATGCCTATACCTTGCTTATCATTCAAACTGTCATTTTTAAGGCCGAACTTGAAGATACAACACTAAGAATAGTGTGATTTATTTCACAACAGAACTTAATCAGAGTAACAAAATAATGCTGAGCATTGGGCTGAGGCTCATTTTGAGTAAATAGATGTGATAGTGCTTTTATAATGAAGTGCTTAATTTTGTAAATGAGTAAAAACAGAGCCATAAATTTGTCCACTGCTCACACAAATTAAGATCTGCAAGATGACTTGTTGTCATTGCCAGTACTGAATTATAGAAAGCATTGCTACTATCACAATAAAACAGCAGGACTTCTTTGGCATTTAGTACTTATGGTCACATCTTGTGATGTCCTATTTTTAGTCCCTGTTGCATTCATATTTTAGTAAATCCACACCAGCAGAGTATGTTTGGAAGTGGACCGAGACTCTTTCAGTGCATGGTCTTGGTCTGCCTGTTTGATGTGCACCAAGATTTGAATGGCAGCGTTCACACTTATGAATCAAATCAAAACATGCTTCTAATCTGAAATGTTTTTCCTCTATTACTACGACTTGCTTGGTTTGGGTCTTGTGGAGCTGCGCATTGATGGATTTTCTTTTTTTAAACCACACTGAATTGAACTAAACTGAATTTAAACTATGAAAACTGGACTGACAATATTTTAATTTACTAGACTTTCTATTTTAAGCTGCTTTGACACAATCAACATTATAAAAGCCCTATAGAAATAAAGATGAGTTGCCATGAATTTGTACTGGAGTCCAGCTAGTAAGAGCAAGTCACTCCACAAATCTCAAAAGAAGCACTGCAGACATTGGGGGCTGCAGACTTTAGTGTACTTATTAATGCACATTACACACATTCTAAATTCACATATCCTCAGACAAATAAATCACAAATTTAAGATTCCAGTTACATTTTCCCCTCATTTATCCTTTCACTTAAAGAGAAAGCTTTCCCAAAACTAAAAAATTATGTTGTCATTTCCTTACGCTCATTTTGTTCCAAACATGTATGATTTGTAAAACAAAGTGACCACTAGGCATGGGACGATAACCGTTTCAAGGTATATCTTAGTTTAGAAAAGTCAAAGTTTTATAAACATCAAAATTTTCTGCAATATTGTTCCTAAGGTATGTTTACGATTTTTTATCTACTTTTTTGTTGCTTTTTTCGAGCAGCAAAGATCTCCAAAGATGCTGTTTTAAATTGTAAAATCTAAATAAATGAAGGCAGCACAAGTCAATTATTAATTTTCATTATTTAGCCTGGCATGTTACTCTTTTAAAATATTTGAAATGTTTCTCAAAATAAAACATATTGTGTTCAAAAGGGAATTTTTCTTTGCTTTTACACAAACATTTAGAAAGAATATATTTCTGAGCAGTAATCACAATATGGTGAAACTGTGATATTTTTATCCAAGGTACTGTAATCATACCGTCAGAATCTTATACAGGCCCATATACCTTGTGACCACTGAAGCCCACTTTATTTTACAAAATTAATTATTTCATGTTCCACAGAAGAAACAAATTGGTTCCAGTGTTCTGTCGATTCGCCCTATCTTGTCAGATTGTCCCATTCAAAAAGTAGGTAGCACATTTTGACGATGCAATATGCTACTCATCAGTTTTTGCTACCAGTGTAAGTTTTAATGTGCAGTAGTGTGATATGAAACTGTAATATCGCCACCCTAACCTACCTAATTCCTAACCCCAACCTCAGAACCATTCAAATACAGTGCTGGTAGTAAAATCTAATGGGTGGTATAAAATGTCAGGACACCTGTTTGCAATAGACCTGTTTGTAAATAGAGGCAGGTTATATATGATCGAAGTAAATAATTACATATTTTTCAATATTATTTATGTCAATATTATTCAAAGTATCTGCTTAAAAATGAAACATTAATCTCAAAACAACAAAAACAACATGCTCAAGGCTGTGGACGACCAGACAAGTTACACAAAATATAAGCTTAAACAGATTAAGAGCACAACTGCTAGTTTTACCCTGAGCTTGTAAAGTGCTTTTGCTCAAGCATTAATCTCACATTGATAATGAAAGAGAACAGCCATGCAACAGGTGATTAAATTAAGCGAGATCACTGCAGTACTGTGTACTGTGACTATAAGCACTTGTTGTTATTGGATTTGTTTAATCAAGCGAATAATAAAGTTGGCTGCCTCACACTAAACAACAATTCTCCATAATAAGAATTGGCCATTCTCTTAGCGAAAACCCTGAGAGCCTTTGAAGCACTTGAGCATGTTATCAGCTGAGGGTTGTGCAGAGCTGATCTAATGCGGAACAGCCTCTCCAAAAGCCGTGAAAACACTGAAGACACGCTGCATGGAGCGCAAGACCACCTTCCAACCAGTCGTAAACTTGAATGTGTATATACAGCCAGTACATACAAGCATACATCAACGAAAATATTCAGATTAAAATATAGATACAAAAACATAGTTAAAAGCTTAAATTACCAGTCAAATAATCTGGCGTGTTTTCCAAACGACGTGAAAATATGCAATAAAAAAATATAATGTTAATTAATGCCATTTAATCCTTATTTGCTAGTATTGAAACAAAGATAGTGATACAGTGGCTGTTCTCAACACATGCACAAACTGCAGTCTGTCACCAAACCATGCGCTTCGAGTCTGTGCAAAATAGCACGATAAAACTTTCCATAATAAGCTTCTCGTGCTAATTATTACCTTATTTTGTCGTCCAGCACCTGCGAATCTCCCAAAGTCTTGAAAGTTCAGTCAGAAGATGAGCTCGACGCGCTCCTCAGTCGCGTTATTGTGCCAGCGGTTAGTTTAGGTTTCGGACAGATGCTCCTCTCCTCGCGCGAGTATCTCCATTGGCTCAGCAGCATCACTCATTTCGCCCTCCCCTGAACGCTCACACGCGCTGTCTGCATGCTGGAGGTTTTGGTTTTTTTTTCTCCCTAAAACCCTGTTACTTTGACTAGAACTACAAAGTGAACACTTGAAAAATCAAAGCACAGATTTAGGGCGTATGGAGTTCATGGGATGAAGTCTTTGCAGTGTCTTAGACTTGCATGCTACTAAAACATATTTATTGACGTCTTATTTGTTGATCTGTTAAACAATACGAATTTAATCGTGCTTTAATTGCGCGCTACTCTTATTGTCGCAATGTCAGTGGAAATCGCTTGTTCTCACATAAAAAAAAAACATTAAAATGCGTGAAATGAAATGCAGAAATGAAGTTGCGATCTTCCCTGAATCCTCCAGTGCCTCTCCTGCTCCGACTAATAGAAGAAATGACACGGGTTATGGGAAACGGTGAGTGACAAAACCTCACTAATGAAGTGCATCGACGCAAGCTGGCATTTTGAAACACTACTGCCCCCTTTTGGTATTAAGTAATATTGTCGCATTTCAGCAATAGTAGGGAAGGGGTGCCCAAACTTTTTCTCATAGGACCAAAAAACAAATATCATCGAGAGACATATGTCATTTCCTAATTTATTTAATAAAATTTTTAAATAAATAGAAAACATGACTTTGAAAAGCAGTATCTAATGCAGTATAACTGTTTAAATGATAATTTATTGCAATTAAATACAAAAACAATCACATTTATAACACAGTGGAGTTCAATGCTGAATACACAAGCAGAATCTGCCTTTAGTGACAGTATCTACATTTTAAAAATCTGATTAAATGGCAACATTTGAATTAAAACATTTAACTTCACTTAGTTTTTTTGTAGGTTTACAATACAACAAACAAATAAAAGATTAATTTAAATTTGAAATGTCAATCTCTAAACCATCCCCATCATTCTTCACCTCTTCTCAGATGTGATGGCGAGCCCAATCAAAGGTTACCATGGGCCAACTTTGGCCCGCGGGCCCTTGGGCATCTCTGATCTAGGGTGTTATGTGAAACAAATTTGTGTAAAAAAAAAATTTTTTACACAATTTCTTTAATTAGCTAAAAAAAGCATAACCTTTATAACATATATGCAAATAATGTTTTATCATTGACATTTTGATTTTAAAGGTTAGCTGACTAGCATGGTGCCACCGTTTTTATTCTGCAAAAAGCTTAAAAGGTTATTCTAATTTTCAAACACATTGTTATTTTTCAATTTGTTGTAATAAAGAAAATCAGGATGATTCCATCAAATATATGTTTATTTTCTCTTCTGACGTAAAAACATATTATGGATAAAAATGTATAAAGTATATTTACATTTACACACGTTTACGTAGATTTAAAAAAGAATAGCCTACGTTTCCACCTATAGTTCAGATCTGAACAATGAACACATGATCATTTTCTGCAAATAAATAATTTAAATGAAAATAATCTTATTTCAAATTTTAAAGATTATGAGACAGTTACTGAAATGACTTAAATAGGTATAAAATTATGTTAACAAATAATAACAAATGTATATTAAAGCTTCTAAATTTCCCAAAAGAGAATAAATTACCAGACCATTTTTAAACAAATAATCAGCCATATAAATATTACATGTGAAGCATGACTTAATTAAGAGCAAAGCAGATAAATCAGTCATGGGTCCGTATCAAATGGAGCGATAATCTAAACCTTCCCATTATTTTCGAGCCATTAGGCAAGAACACAGTACTCTTAGCTGTGCCGTGGCCTAAAAGCAAGTTGTACTACACTTTAAATGTGGGCTAATTATGCAACAGCACCTCATTTAGCCTGTAATGAGAAATCTCTGACTACCACAAAGACATTTAATGAGCAAAACACACATTGGGGCAATGAGCTAAAATGGAAACATTTGTGAAACAGCCAAAGCAACATATATAAACAGAAAAAAACAGGTTGCATATCATTCATATACCTTGAAAAAGCACTAATATTTTTAATTCTGAATTCACAAGCTTTCTAAGACAAAAAGCTAAATGATCACACTGAATAGTTTGTTGCCCTGCTAATTGTTTGCTCAAGCAATAACAAATCTGATTGTTATAATATTTTGAATGCAAGGAATAGACTTGCAGTCACACACAAAACAGCTGAGTCCCTTAAATTAACAAAGACAGATTTACTTGAACAAGCGTACCTAGACTGTACAGTGTAACTAATTATGACTCTCCTTGCTGCATACTCGGTGAACCCGATCAATTGATCTCAATTGTGCATTCTCCTGAGGAGGAAATACTGCCCCTCGTCTCCAATCGATCACCACTGCAGATTCCCAGTGTGAGTCCACTGCTGGAGACAGGAGGTCAGCAGGAGGAAATGAATGTTTGAGTCAATCTCCTCAACCACTGCACTGACAGGCCAACACACACATACAGTATTATCAATATTTAGACATTACAGCAGCACTTAACACCCGTAAACCTAATGCCCCAAATTTAGTGGTTTTGAAAAATATTTTGCAGCAAATTTTCAGAGACTCGCAGATACCATTACAAACCACAACACATTATGTAAATAATGAGTGCTTTTGCTGAAAGAAATCATGCAATACCAGCATTTCTGTTATTTTTTTTACTCAAACCCATTGTCAGTCTTTGAGATGTCATGGTGTCCCGTTCACAAACTCATTGCAGGGCTAAAATAATCCCAAATGCAGGTGCTTCCATCTACTGGTTGCTTATGTGAATAACATATTAGAAGAACATATGAATCCCGTACACTGTATTAAATAATAATGTAAATATTTGTATTCATTTATTTTTTGAACAACCTAGTTATGAGAAGTCTAGAACAATTCTGGGCTGACACAACATATATCACAGCCCTGCTAAAAAAAAACAGCTTAAACCAACCCAAGCTGGTTCGCTGGTTTTAGCTGGTAGACCAGCCAGGTCTTAGAAGGGTTTTGCCATTTTCAGGCTGGTTTCCAGCCATTTCCAGCCTGGTCTTAGCTGGTCAGGCTGGAAAATGACCAGCCTAAATCAGCTAAAACCAGCTGACCAACCTGGTTTAAGCTAGACATAGCTAGTTTTGGCTAGCTCCCAGCCTGGCTAGGCTGGTCAAGCCGTTTTTAGCTGGTCATCTCCCAGCCTGACCAGCTAAGACCAGGCCTAAATGGGCAAACCCTCCCTAAAACCAGCCTGGTTGACTAGCTAAAACCAACCAACCAGCCTAGGCTGGTTTCAAGAGCTCACACTTAGCTGATGATTGATTATAAGCAAGTTTGGCATGCTGTCCGGGGAGAGAGCCCTGAGCTCAAAGGTCCTTAAGCCTTGAGCTCCTTCCCGTTTGCAGGGCGAGAGGGGAGCCTTGAGCTCAGGTAGATCTCGACAACTCCCCAAAATGCTCTACTCGGGACAGCAGCCACGTATTTGAAGAACCCCCCAAAAGCAATGAAGATTAAAGCAATATCCGGCTGCTGAGTAAAAAGTGAACTAGAAAAGCTTGAAGGAGTAAAATGAGGTTAGTGTGGGTGTAAAAGGTGAGATGGGAGTGGTCGTTGCTACAGGAGTGGTGTACTGGCAGATGGATTATATACGATTATGTGCTTCCGGGGCAGGATTACTTGCTAGGACCGGGCAGGAGAGTGAGATAAATGTAATGATTTGAAACGTATGTGGGTGAGCTCTGTAAGAGAGGCTTACTATGGTAGAAGTGAAATTAAGCTATAGGGTTCTAGAGTGTATCAGTAGTGGAATGCTAAATGGAAGTGAATATGCGCTCGCTGAGCGTCACTGCTGCGGCAGTGATGTAGAGGGGAAATGAGGCTCGGCTGAGCGTCTCTGCGACTTCAGAGGTGCGGTGGAAGTCAGAAAGCTTCTGAAGAGACGAATAACTGCTGTGTAGCAGAGAGGGAATAAGACTTGGTAGAGCGACTCAGAGCTGAAGAGGTGCATAGGTATTCAGTGTCTGGTGCATTATATGTGTGAAAGCAATGTGTGTTCCCGCTAAGCCTTTACGGCTGTATTGTTGCGGGGAGTGCGGTGATGGAAAATAAGATGATGCTACAATGCAATGTAATTAAGTGGAGCTGCTGTAGACCCAGGTAAAAAAAAGTGCACTAAAATGCACTTTAAGTATACTTAGTACACTTTTCAGTAATGTACTAAAAGTGCTCTATTTTCGCACACTAATTTTGTACTTAATGTACTAAAAGATAGTATTAAGTATATGTTAAGATAAACTTAATACCATCTAAGTGTACTCAACTGTGCTATTTTGAGACACCCTGAAATTGAACTAAAATGTGCTTTGAACATACTATATCTGTATTTTAAAAAATATATTTAGTTACAACTAGAAATATGCTTGAACCCTACTTTTAAACATTTATAAATGTATTTATGACTAATTTAAAGTATAATAGTAATATATTAAAAGAATATACATATTGTATAAAAAAGTCTGCTAAATACTGTATTAAAAGTATTTTGCGAAAATGTACTTCTACTACAATACATTACTAATAGATTTTTAATAAAGTAAATTTAATGTAAACTTAAAATTACCACACTCAAAATCAATTTAAGCATTATTGATAATATTTCAGTCACATTAAGTGTACTTAAGTACAACTTTTGGGAAAATGTACTTCTACTACAATACATTACTAATAGATTTTTTTATATATTAACTTATTTTAAACTTAGGATTAGTTTTATTTAAACAGTGTACTAAAAATCAACTAATGTTTAAAGCATTTAAAGCACACTTTTGAAAAACACACTAATAAAACTCTTTTGGATGTTTTTTCTGTAATGTACTTTATTGTAGTACACTTAAAATTGATTTAAGTATTACTGGTATTTAGTATACGTTTGTTAAGAGTACTAAAGTCCTACTGAAGTATAAACATACTTTTAATTAGTATATTTATAGTGCAAAACCATCAAACCTTTATTTAATACAAAAAAAATAATGTACTAAAAAGTATTTGCGGGTATTTAAGTGTATTTTAATTGCATGTAATTATATATTTTTTTCACCTGTGGAGGTGTGATGGTGATAAGTATGGCAGCAATACAATGTCCCGCTACGCCATTACGGCTGTATTATTGCGAGGGAGTGTGATGATGGTGAAATTTTTGGAAAGTCTATGTGAGCTCTTGGGGCTACCCCTGTGCGAGTCCAAGCTGCAGAGAATGAGTTCAAGTGAAATTGAAAAATTATGAAAAGGAAGAGAAAAGGGAAAGTTAGTAAAAATGAGTCCCATGCTACTAAAACAGAAAGTAGGGAGAACAGAGTCGTGCTGCTTAGAAACTAGGTTGAAGTCTGCTACAGAGAATCAGCTGGGCTTCTCTGAGGTGATATTGGCTGAGGAAAATTGAGGATTTAAAGGCGTTAGAGGACCAATGACAGAGTTTATATTTGTTGTTGGGAGACTGTTCAGGCAGAGCGTCACTGCTGCGGCAATGGTGCAGGGGGAAAATTAAGCTCAGCAGAGCTTCTCTGCAGTTACAGAAGTGCAATGGAAGTCAGTGGTTCAGAAATGAAGGCTAAACGGGCATCTCTGCAGTTGCAGCTGAGGCAAAGCTTTACTGCTGGAGCAGTGGTGCAGAGGGAAAATAAAGCTCGGCAAAGCGTCTCTGCTGTTGCAGAGGTGCAGTGATACTCAGTATTGGAGCCCCACACGGAAATGTTAAATACTATCAGCAGTGATATGTAGAGATGAAAGTGAAAAAGGGGCTCAGATAGAGCATCACTGCAGTTGCAGTGGTGTAAATGGTGTGTATAGATCAGCGGAGCACCTCAACAGTCGGTATTGGAGTTTTGAGTGCTCCCGCGGTAATGTAAATTACTTAGCGGATTGTTTCTGCGGCTGCAGCGGTGTAGTGGGTCAGTATGGAGGCAACTTGTGCTCCCGCAGAAGCATTTACTCCTGTATTAGTGCTGGGGAGTGCAACGATAGTGGTATTTAGAAAAATTGTTAGTGTATGAGAGCTCATTAAGAGCGTTGCTGTTGCAGCAATTGAAACTCAAGACAACCCCTGAATTGGTCGGAGCTGTGGTGAATAAAAGTGAATAGAAGTAAGGGATAGTTCAAATTTGGAGAGAAAAAAAGTTAAAGCTGGAAAAACGGGGGAAGGGTAGTGAAGGAGCTCCTATGTTAATAGAAAGTGAAATAGGAAGAAAATGACAGAGTCATACTTATACCCAGGAATGCATGATGGTGGAAGTGGGCTGGAGAGGATCGGCTGGGCTTCCCTGAGGTGGTATTGCTCTTTTGTGGTGTAAAAATGCTAAGAGGTTTAGAATGGGTGTGTGAGGGAGCGAATATCATCCTGCATCCTGCGATTCTTCATCCTGTAAAGTTAGATCAGATATGGTTTGGTGTATTGTTGGATTGAAAAGCCATGTTTTAGTTCAGAAAACTTCAAAAATGAAAAAAGGCTAGTGTAAATATGGCATCGAAGGTGTGGGCTATGTGAGTGAAAAAGTATCATTTGCAAAGAGTGTGAATGTATTTAGAAATGGATGTGGAGTGTAATAGGTTGGATGAGGGTCATCTTCTGCAGCCGGCTGATATGACCTCTGAAATGAGATAAACAAGAGAGAATCAAAAATGAAATTATTACAACATGGTACATGTACGGCTAACACAATGAATTGTTTTAGCTGATATCCATGCGGGGCATCTTAATAAGGGCATGGGCAACTGTTAATGGAAGCACCTTTTGTTAATGCATGGTACACTAGCCAAATTGTCACAATGTGCAATGATAGTAGAGGTGGGCATTCGTCCCTCCTACAGGATGGCAGATTGATGGGAAATCTGCTCGTCTGGTGGTCCTGATGTACCTCTTGAAGACTGAGTTAATTCACAATGTAATTTATTTTTATGTTATTTATAATAACGTTATTATAATGTTATAATAATGTTATAATATAATATAATATTATAGATAATTATAATAATGTTAAATTATAAATAATACATATTTATTTATAATGTTATAATCTTTTAATAGTTTATTTTTATATATAATGATATAGACCAAAATGTTGGGGACAAAATGTAATTTCATATAAATCTAGACAAATAACTCAATGGTTTCATTTACTCTTGCATGACCTTATATTTTGTCAGATCTCATCTGACATCTGAAATAACCTAACATTTTCGATTACATTGTGAAAATTACATTTGTATATACAGGGTACAAAGAGACCTCGACACTCCTGACAAAAACATCTCTGATCTCCTGCCTGACACTAGGGCGCACACTTTAATAAATCAAAATTTCTTTTATAGATTTGACATTCTGAATGTTTTTATCAATAATTGGCTTGAACGTTTTTCACAGGAGAAACTTAAAAGGTCAGTGAAGTATTGATTTCAGTATAATAAGTCAGAATATGTTAAATGGTTTGTTGTCACAGAAAATGTAACGCTTCACCTGAATCCTCCGTCAGATAATTCCCCACGCATTCAGAATTTCACGTGCCTACATCATGTGAATGTGGAGTAGATCGGCTGTGTGAAGCTGTCTCCAGTCATTTTCTGCAGAACTGTAAGACATATCATAGTGTTTGGTCTTGTGTGTGTGGGCGCACTCTTTGCTTCTGTCAGTGTGACTGCTGCCAGCTGTATCTACGCCGTGTGTCATTGTTTCTGAAGAGATGCCACCCTAACAGAATGGCACTATAAAAACAAACATCCTAATTCCATTTCACACTTTTATATTTGTCACACATGCTTTGACTGATTACCTCGTACTGACTCCAAGATTGTGCTTTCCATTCCAAAGCATGCTTTCTTGGGCCTGATTTTGCATCCAACAATAGATTTACAAACAAGCATGGACATAAATTGAAGGTGCCTGTAATATTTTATTTGCAAAGGGTGGGGTAATCTAAAGGTTAACCTTAATCGAAAAAGTCTACTAATGTACTAATGTTCATGTAGTCAAATTAAATCTGAACTGGTGTATAAAAATAGACATTCAAATGATATAGATGAACTATCATCCAGATGTACAAGATGATGACAGTGTTGGTGACACACTGCCAAGGCCGATGGAGAAGCATAAACAAACCAAGACCGATGCAGTGTGACAGCAGTCAGCTCCCTCGGGACCACCATGACCAAGACAACAGCTGCCAAACGCTGCCTGGCAGCGGAGATGAGGGGGAGTCAAAGCTGAGGTCTATAAGCTGACTGGTACCTCATTCTACACAAACAAATTCTCTCTCATCCAAGTCCAAATGTTTTGATGATTTTCATGAAATGCTAGACGTTACAAACACAGCATTTGAAATCCTGTTAAGGGATAGAAAAAAATGGAAATGGAAAAAAAAAATCCAGAGAGGATTAAAGAACCAAACAATCGAAGAGGGAGAGAGACCAAGAGAGAGAAGGATAGAAAGAGAGAGTCATATCGGGAATAATCACAGTGTGAGAGGGAGAGACGTGAGGCGGTGCTCTGAATAGGAAACAGAGGGAAGGATAGAGATTAGTGCTGCACTCTCTGGGCTCATCACTCAATGAAAGGACACGCTGCAAACAACAAGGGCGCTCAGCCTCAGGAGAATCGGGAAAGGTGCGAGTTTGCTTTTAGGGATATTTACATAAAACTTACTGGACTTTCTGGAGGTTTCCAGGTCAGGATACTTGGTTTGAACAACTTCTTACTATGGATTGTTACAGCTAAGTCAGAACCGAGGAACCAGATTCAGGAAGGTTCTGAGTGACTGGTAGGCTTTCCTATGTATGCTGTGTTAACGGAGTATGTTAACCAATTAAAATACCTATCCTTAAACATAAATGTAAACACAGTAATTGAGGACTTTTTTTAGTTGGCTTAGTCCATTCCTTGCCCCAGATTCCGCCATCTGCTGATGTCCATCTGTGAAATGCTGGAGGATATGACAGATGTAAAACAACATTTGTAGGATTTAACCGTAGAGCTTCCTGTATCGAGTTCATCTCCAACTGTGCCAGCATTGTTCCTGATGTAATCCTTTTTACGTGCAACCAAAAGAATGACCTCGACATCTTGCATGGTTTTGATCCTGCTCTCAGTTCAGTTTTCAGGAGCTAGTTGTCCTCAGGGCTGCTTGTGCACATCTGACATACTGAACTGTGGCTCTTTGGGTCTGGATAGATTTCCCAACCCGCTTCCGTTCACAACTTCTGTCCTGGACCTTAGTCATAATAGACTAACATGGCTGGCAGCCGGCAGCTTCTACGGACTCCCAAGGCTGCAGACTTTGCATATGTCTCATAACCGCATCTCCTTGCTTAGCCCAGGAGCTTTCCATAACATTACTAGTCTACGATACCTGGACCTCTCTTCCAACAAATTGCAAGTAGTGGGGAAGTATCACTTCCAGGATCTGCAAGCCTTGGAGGTGCTCCTGATGTACAACAACCGTCTTACACGTGTGGAGAGCAACACTCTAATGGGTCTAAGCAATCTTAGAAAGGTTTACTTCAGCCTGAACCAAATCACAGACTTCCCGTTCTTCTCGATTCGCAAGCACAGCCACCCCAGTCTGGTAACGCTGGACCTCTCTTCAAACCGCCTGTTTCGCTTGCCAATGGATGACATTGTGCTGTTGCCTGTCGCTGTGCAAAAAGGCCTGTACCTGCACAACAACAGCCTGGAGTGTGATTGCTCTCTATACCGCATGTTTTGGCACTGGGAACAGAAGGGCTACCAAAGTGTGAAAGACTACAAGGATAACTACAAGTGTCTGATGTACGGTGAGCCTCAAGTCTCGATTAATTTCATGCGCTCTTTGCATTTCTTTGAGAATTGCACAGTTGGGAAGATGATATCCCTGATATCCCCGAAGGCTGATAAAGTTGTTTACGAGGGTGAACAAGTGCGGTTGGACTGTACGGGGACACTAAACGGAGAAGACCTGTCCTACAGCTGGATTATTCCTCACCAAGAGAACATCTCGTATCTGATCCAGAACGGGACTCTACGTCTCAATCAAGATGGTAGCTTGGATATTCTTGCCGCCCAGTCTGTAGATTCAGGGATTTACCAGTGTACTGCTGTCGATAACACAAGGATGATCAATGAATCCCGAGAAGTGAACTTAACTGTGGTAGCCCAGCACTCCACAGAGGAGACATTCAACACCGGCTACACCACTCTTTTAGGCTGTGTTGTAACCCTTGTCCTGATATTGATGTATTTGTATTTAACCCCATGCCGTTGTGGTTGCTGCAAACCTCCTCCTCCATCTCCAGCCATCTCATCCTTTGGGGAAAACCGCTGCAATCTGGCCTCTATATTTGCTGCTCCCTCAACCGATCGGCTGAAAAGCAAGTCTCAGTCCGACAGGCACGTAGTGTTCCTTGAGCCACTTATGGCTGGGAAAAATGGCCATCCAAAAGCTGCATTTGTTGTTGAACAGCCAGCAATTGAATGGGACACTGAAAACTTCACGATTTTTAGAGAAAGAAATGACTTCGAGTAGCTAACTTGTGACCTTAAAATCCTGCTTGTTTGAATCACTGGGACAAGCAACACGAATTAATGTCATAATTCTCTAATAAATTACTTTGTTCCTCAGATTTGAAGGCTGTCTTCTGTCTCACAGTGTGCAGTGATACTTTTTTATGCTGAATGAGTGGGAATATACAGCAAATGTATCATCTGAGCATGTGTATTGAAGTAGGAACTTCTCTGAAAGGTTGAAAGCTCAGTCATGTACAAAAGATTTTTGGATTGCCATGACAATATCGACATGACAACAAGATATGATGACCGCAAGCTGTTCATGCTAGTTTCCAGAAACTCCTTTAAAAGGCTGTCAAAAACATCTAGGTGCTGAAGATACACTATAATCAGGCAGGTCATTTCTGTAATCTAAATTCTCAACTAAAAGCTTTCAATCTAGAGCCATTTAAGATCGAGGTTTAATCCCTTCAATTGCGTCATTAACATTAGATACATTTAATCCCGCATGTCAAAATAACATGGTCGCAAAGTTCTAAAACCATGTAAATAAGCACAAATGAATGCGTTATGAGCTCACAATTAGTGAATACCTCTAGGAGGAGAGAAGATGGAAAAGTGAAGGCAATGTAGTGATGTCTGTTTATGTGAGATATTATTCATCTCAGCACTTTGCATTAAGCAAATTGCTCTTTCATTGCAGGGATGTGCTATGGGAGAGGATTAACACCCCTGCCAGAATTTTCCCTCCCACACCATGCACAGTATGCAAACTAAAAGCAAAATATGAAAATGAATGAGCACCCAGGCAAAGGTACAGAGTTAATCCATCCAGTCCATTTCCAGATGTGATCAGATTTATCTGCGGCAACCCACTTTTACATTCGTAATACGTTGACACGTGTCCCCTGGCTGATCGTCAGCTGCATGATGTTCACAAAGCTCTGCCAAATGCACCAGCTTTATTAAAAAAAAAAAGTCAATGTGATATTCTGTCTCTTTAAACTTGTACATCAGGGGTGTCAAACTCAATTCCTGGAGGGCCGAAGCCCTGCACAATTTAGTTCCAACCCTGCTCCAACACACTTACCTGTAGGTTTCAAACAAGCCTGAAGGACTCAATTAGTTGAATCAGGTGTGCTTAATTAGGGTTGGAACTAAACTGTGCAGAGCTGCGGCCCTTTTCGAACGGAGTTTGACACCTGTGCTGTACATAATTGAATACACATCAGCAGTTGTTTAACAAAGTCATCAGGCTTACCAAATGAACTATCATGAAATTCACCTTCAAATCAAGTCTGTGCAAAAGAGCAAAACAGAAATACTTAATTTGTAAAAGCAACTTTCCTATCAAACAGTTTTGCAGTTCTAACCCGTACTGTCTAGTTCCAGCCTTACCTCTGTGTTGTGTTTGTAATACTAGTGTTCTTTTGAAAGATAACTATATCAAATGAGAGATGAGATGACCTAAGGTCAGATTTTAGCAGATTACTCTTTGGGGCAAACTAGGTACTGGCTATTTTTTCAGCCTTCTCTTAATCCTTTAAGCTTTCTTTTTTTTTTTGTCCCCTTCTGCCGCAAACACGATTTGCTCTCTTTCTAACCTGCACTGAAGCACGATAGTAAAAAAAGAGCTTTGGCGATGCAAAATGGTGACCCACATATTGAACTAATGAGCAAAAAGATGTAAATGCACTTCAAAAATATATAACCACTGATATTCATACCCAGTAATTTTAAACACTGTAGTTTCATTGCAATTTTAGAAAGTGTAAAATAGACACACACTCAAATTCTCCCATATGTGACCCAAAACAAAACATCTCTCATCCTAGCTACAGCTGACACCACTTAGGATGAAATATAGAAAGAGAAAGAGTGTTTTAAACAAATTCGTACACATTGTTTTCAGAGACAGAGCTGTTTATCTGTTAGTAACATTTGTAAAATGCCCTGAGAAATATTCTACAGAACTGCAGCTAATCAGATTCATGTTAAGGGCAAATTGAATCACTGTTTTTAAATCAAGGTGCATAAATTTCAGTATATATTTAACAAAAAAAAAAATTGTTTTTGACAAACACCGCATCAGCTTTAGACCAGCAGAATTCATTAGGAAATGGTGCCCTCTGCTGGTCAGCTTTTAAACCGCTAGGTTAAATACTTGCCAATGCACATTATGAAACAACATTGGCATTCATTAATCACATTTAAAAGAAAATCTAATCATTTCTTATATAGCGTCATAAATATCTATGTACATGTACAAAGAGTTCACACATTTGTGCTTTTGATTTAATACTGAACAGGACATCATGTTTGATACAACCTTGTTTTAATATAACATCTGTACAACCAAGAATGTAAAAAAACCAAAAACAGCTAAAATGAAGAATGACTCACTTTTCATCTTTTAAAAAAATATTGTCTGCATTTTGCTCCTTGTTCACAAACCGTTTTTTTTTTTCTCCTTGAAAATCCAAACAAAAAGTATTGACAAAAATGAAACATTGAAAGGCAATTACATTTCTTGGCAATATAAATATAGTGGTATGAACAAGGTTTTTCAAACATCTCATTTAGGAAGAGCATTACCGAAAACAGTGAAAATCTGGCCACCGTCTGAGTCACTATCTCATTAATACGAAACCAGATTTCATTTTTCCTTTATTTCAGATATTTGATGTGCTCTTATTGTTAAGTATGTACATTCCTAATGCCAGTAGTCTATGAGGGAGCATGGCATCCCAATGGCATTCAGTTGTAAGTGTAGTCCGAATAGTAGTCTGACCGTCCACCCCCTCCCCTCCCAGGCGGGTAGCCCCAATTACAGGATGGGCCTCCTCTGATGTGACCCCTACCCGGTCTAGATCTCATAGGGTGCGGTGGAACTCCTCGACCCCTGAAGCCACCCCGCATCATATCAGGGGGACCCCCTCTGGGATTGTACATGCTATTGTTGTGTCCACCTCGGCACATGGCTCCCATTGGAGCTCCAGGGAGGGGTAAGAGTCCTCTGCTGGAAATGCCACCCCTGGCAGGAGGGGCTTGACTGCCACCCTGACTCTCTGATGACGAGTTCACTGGAGTTCTGCTGCCTTGGCTGCAAGAACTTGAACTAGCCAATGCACTGTCTTTCTCTCCGATGCCCTCTTGCTGTCCTACTTTAGAGGTGCTTGAAGTCATGGCCTTTTCTTCCTCTTGTTCCTGAGAGGTCCCACTCTCTGTGGCTCCTATCCATGATCCATCTGTGGGTTTTGCGGCCTCAGACTGGGTTGAAGGTAAAGCACTAAATCCTGCCCCGCTCTGTCCAGCCGTGAAACTGTGCTGGCCTCCTGGTGTGGGACCCCAGTTGTAAAGCGGTGGAACAGGGGGAATTGGAGTGAGGGCTGGAAAGAGTGTGGATTCTGGGTAAGAGGGAAAAGTGGTGCGAATAGAGGATGAAGAAAAAGTAGAAGATGAAGATGGAGTCTCTACATCTTTCTTAATGGTTTGAGAGCCTGGATGTCCTTGCTTATTAGCAGTGATTGCCATTTCCACCCCAGGCACTCCCACACTGTCAGCAATGTGTCCAGGTGGTTGAAGAGACGAGACTGATTCTGGAACAGGAGGCAGCACCTCCACTAAGCTAACCGGGGGCTGAGGGAAGGATGGGGGAATGGGAAGCGGTTGGCCAATGGGTAGGGTCAGGGTGTTTGCAGGAGGTGGGACCCCAGGAGGAGCAACACTTTGACTATAATCTGATCCCCTGGAAGCCACTTGGACTGGAGATGAATATGCTGAGGACATGTGGTATGCAGGAGAACCAGAGTAAGGGCTCCACTGTGATGAACTGGGACACAGGTAGCTCTGGTGGGGGTTCACACCGAAACTGGTCAGGGTGTCCTCTACTTCAGGCCTAGATGCACTCTCTTGACTGGCAGCTTTATAAAGAGCTATGGCAGACTTCAAAGCTGCGTAATCTGAGAAAGAGCCCTGGCTAGGGCACATAGAGGGGTTTGGAAGAACAAGTGGATCCATTATGGGGTCCAAAGATGGTTGGTTAGGAAGGGGAGGACGAAATCCATCGGTCTGGGGTGGAGGGGGTTGAGGTGCATGTGGTTCTGTTAGGTCTTTTTCTGTCTGAATGTTAGTATCGGTGACTGGCATGTCATCTTCAGAGTCTATAGACATGTCCTCTTCATCGCGAACAGCATCAGGCTCCACTGAGCAATCAAATAAATGACAAAGTGTTAAAATCAAAATCTATCATTTCTTTGTGAATTCTGTCAGGAAAAGAAGATCAAGAGTTTACCTGGATTAGGTAGGACAGCCACTGTAACGTCTTCAGGGATACTGATCAAACTCTGAAAGTTGTTCATTATGTCATTCATACCTGCAATGATGACTCCACTACCAGAGAACTGAGAGAATTTGTCATCGTGTCTTTCTGTAAATGTAAAGACAAAAACAATTTAGCAAACTCTGCAGACAACTGCACATATCATCGCTATTGCACCACAGTCATATTAATCAACAAAAAGAGGACTAAATCACCTAAGCGTGTAGTGCTACAGACAAAGGCAACAGAGAATTGCTGCTAAGGCCGTACTCACACTAGGTACAGTTGCCTCGAACCGGGCCAAAGCACGCTTGTCCCCCCTCCCTTCTCCCCCGACGCCCTGCACTCACACCATATCGGCACGCTTACGTCATCGCTGCTGCGCTGTTCAGTGAGAAGCGCTCTCTCACTCAGCAGCACACGTCTCGCTTTCAGTTTCAGGCTTTGGCGCGTTTTGCACTCACACACAAGCGTACCACGCCAAAGCCCAAGTGAACCGCGCTCAGGCCCACCTCTTCCAACCGGGCCAGGGCCGGCCAAGTGAACCGTGCTTGAGCCCGATTCAGCGCACTCACACTTCTCAAACGATCCGGGAAACGGGCCTGGGCACGGTACGGATGGAATAGTGTGAGTAGGCCCTAAGATTGGCTTTCTGAATGTTCACACTTTAAAAACATGAGTGGACAGATATTAACAGGTAGTTCCTATTGAGCTGGATTAGAAGCTCAATCCATTTACCCAAAATGACATTTCTAAAACTTAAATCATTCCCAGTTTATGCAATCATGCTAAAAAGTGTCA